AACCCCATAGACCACCTCTAAATAAGGCCCTGGACTGATGCCACACAGGGGCTTCATATGCTACAAAGCCACTTGCTAGGTTGGAGATTGAATGCCTCCCACCCCAGTCTGGAGAGATAAAGGAAAATCTTTGCTTCTAAGTTGCAGAATTTGCACATTAATTCTGTAAGAACTTAGCTAAATTTTGCTCAGGCTTATTGTAATCTTGAATCCCTAAGACATCCAGAAACCAAAGCCCAGATGGTACACACCCTGGCCACCAGTATCTAATATCTGCTCCCCAACTCACAACTTGCTCACTCATATATTCAACCTTAAATTTCCCCAAAAGAGGTAAAATGAATTTGGGAGAAAACAAGTATGAGACAAATTATTGTGGTGCTGAAGTGAATCTGCCTAGGCCAAGGGTTAGAGCTTCACACCTGGTCATCAAACTCACTGACACATAACCTTCCATATTCAAGCACATAAGTGTCAGTCAGCTTTTTGTCAGTGAAGTATGTCCCCACTGTTCTTCAGACTAACTTTATCATCTGTCTCAAACCCATTCTTTAATCCTCAAAAGAATTAATATTCTCTTCCTCACTCCACAGGCAATGTTTTGTATTCAAGAGATCCATCCAACTTTACACATCAGGGACTTAATTTACAGTTCGTGATAAGTAACTATGGTTTTAATTTCCATACATGTAGCTTCACACTTTTATATATATATTCTAGGGCAGTATCCCTAAAAGTGGAAAGTATAACACCTAATGCATATTCCTCCCTTTAACTCTTTTCCTTCTTTCTTCCCTTCAACCTGCCAATAAACCTTCTTTTGATCTTGGATGTGTTCCGCTTGGCTCTTAAAGAGCAATCAAAAGTTTTTTAAGAAAAAAAATTAGTCGGTAAACTTAGGAGAAAATAGAGCTAAAAACATACTTTTTTTTTTTCTTTCCTTGCTGGGCCACATTTAATGCCTGTTCCCTGGGGGCATCCAGATGCCCTTCAGCAAATGACTTCCCCAGGATTTAGGGGATTTTATCACAATTCAGAAATCCTTCTGAAACCTCCACTTGCTCCCAGTCTCAGTAATCTCCCTCCATCCACATACATATAGACGATCCCAAAAGAAATCTGCTTTCATTTTAAACTTTAGAATCTGGTTCACTTTCTTCTTAATTCATAAGTTGGCCCCAGAGTTAAAAGGGGAAAAATGTTTCATTGAAATAGCTAAATGGCTAGAAATAATAGGTACAAATAAACAAACAGAGAAATAGATTATTCAGGTGTAAGAATCTTACAAAAATCTGGAAGAGTCCCTCCAACTGAAGATGGTTTCCAGCTCTTTGTTCCTGGAGATGGGTTCCAGCTGTGTGCACTGGATCCCTGTGGTTTTGATTATATAGCAATAAAATGAACTGGGTGGGGAAACTAGTTCCAAAGAACCCTAATCCTGGCAGATTTTTGCAAACAAAGGGCACTCCCCTTGACAAACAAGGAAATTCACATTTTCTTGGAAATGACTAGATCAAACAAATATTTACCCATATTTACCCACTAGAGTAGATTAAAGTTTTGTTCTGGGAGGCCATTTTTTATATTGGTAAGCATGGCCCTTTGTCCCAAAGCTGCCCTTTTTATGATGTTCATGGTTCTTACTCTTGCCCATGACAGGATCAAGGTTTCATTGTTCACATATATGATCTGGACCCAGAAGACCTTGTTTCAACTCCAAAAACGGCCTTGGAAGAACCCCACAGAGAAAATGTGGTCTCCCAGCAGAATGCTGTTCTCCTGCCGTGTCTATGTATCCACATAATTTGGTTTCATGAAAGGATGCCATATTAATAAGTAGGTTATTCATAGATTTCACAGAACCAGGAAAGCACTTGTAGAGAAGGTTATGTAACAGTTGTTAGAACCCACTGACCTTGACCTCAACCTCCCAGCTACTAACCCTCAGAACTATCCTTGCCATATTTCCTGGGCTTCTCCTTATTTCATCCTCAGCTGTTCACAAGAGACTAATCAGGAGCCCCCAATATTCTGTTCCTTGTAGCACAGCTGCAAAACCGATGATCTCCACTGATAAGCATCACTCCTTAGATGGTTAATTGATCTCATTGTTTCTCCATTTGATAGAAACCATTGAGATAAGAATAATTGTCTTATCATCTCTACAGTCTTAGTTTCTAAAACAGTGAATGACTCCTAGGCCCCAAGGTCTTTTTATTATCTTCATGGTGTAAAAATGCATTCTTTGATCTCACTTTGGGGACCCCAACCATGCAAATTCTCCTGGCTTCTCTCAGCCCTCACCAGCACAACTGGATTTGGTAGAGGTTACCAAACAAGGCAGGTAGAGTAGAAAGGCTTCCAAAAGTCCCAGGAAAGCTCTGCTTCTAGCTTCCTGATAAACCCTTAAAACCCACGGATATACCTTTGCTTTGGGGGTATTGGTCCCTGTTCCAAAGC